AGAGAGAGAGAGAGTTGGGGTTTTCAACGCTTTCAATCTGTTTGTGCATAAGACACACACATGCACAAGAGGGAGGCCAGGCCTGCCACACTAAGGCCATGGCTATGGCAGTGGGCGAGATTGAGGTCAAGGCTTTGGGCTAAAATCCCTCCTTTTTGCTGCCCAAACTCGTTTCACCACAGTTAAGCTGCTTACCCTGCAGTTTACTGATAAGCTCAAACTCTCACCCGGTGGAGCCCTCTCGGCCTTAAAAAATACTCCCTACCTTTCACCACAGTTAAGATTGTTTCTCTCTTCGCCCAAACCACAGGTGAACAGTGGACAGGTGGCCGACATGAACAGTGACAGTTGTCATGAACAGTGGACAGGTAGCATGAACAGTGGACAGGTGGCCGACATGAACAGTGACAGTTGTCACGAACAGTGGACAGGTGTCATCCTTATCTTGAACAGTAGTGAACAGTAGAGCTGCAGGTGACGCCTTATCTTGAACAGTTGTGAACAGTAGAGCGACTGGTGGCCTTCTAATCTGTGTCATACTCTAGAGGCAATCCATCTAAATCATAACTTGGTGATGAATGGTTGGATGGACTATGTGAGGGGCCAGTATAAGAATCATCACTGGAGCTATCAGTAGGTCCTTCAGGCGGTGGAGGGTGGTCAGCAAGCCATATATGTAATTGATGTAGAAGGGCAGCAGTTCTGGGAGTCTCATCATTCCATATTGTTGTTCCTGCATAGACATCCAAAGGAATCCATTCTGGCTGGATTCTGTTAATGTAGCACATGAGGATTTTTAGCTCTTTCCATAGTTCAGTTTGAAATAACCAAAAGTTCAGGAAATTAGAATCATACCATCCAATGGTTTGGATATGGGGGTGTTGGGTGATGAAAGTATGTTCAGAATAAATCTGGGATTGAAGGTCTTGATGAAAGGCTATAATAACATAAGGTCTATGATAATAATCAAAGGATTCGGTCCATTGATTATAATGGTAATGTTTCAATAAAAATTTATAAAAGTTGAAGGCTCTGGGGTTGGGATAGACATAATTATTCCATTGTATGAAATGACAATGTCTGAGATAGGATAATAATTTTCTCACATGGAAATTAAAACAGATATGATGGTTTTGGGTAAGATACCAGAGAAAACAAAGGGCTTCCTTAGGCACATTTTAATAATGTCTGGTTTGGAATAAGGATAAAAAAAGATATTTAGGATGGCATCGAATTCCTTGAAAACATTCTCCATGATTTCCGATTAATATTTCATGCATTTTCTGTTCCATAAACTCATTTCGTGCTTCCATTGTCTTGGTAAGTATGATGTCATAAATTTCATCAGGGATATCTCTTGGTTCATTCTCATCCATTCTTATTATAGCTCCGCAGAAGGGGACTATTTGAAACATAGTATCTTCAGAATATTTCTTTCGAGAAAACATATCACCTAAAATATTGTTCTTTCCAGAAATATGTTTATATTCAAAATTCCATTGTGAATACCAACTTGCCCATCTGAGTAACTGTGGATTTGGGAGCATCTTATTTTTGAATTTCAGCATATTCGGGAAAGTTGAAAGATCTATTTCTACCATGAAAGAATGTCCTATTAGATGAAATTGGAATTTTTCAATTCCTCTTTTTACTGCAAGGATTTCTTTAAATGTAGAGTGATAATGAAATTCAGATTCTTTGAATTTTCCGCTTTTATATCCACATATCATTCGTTCTTTATCTTTTTCTTCAAGTAAGATGCATGCCCAAAATTCATCCGAAGCATCAGTTTGTAAAATCCTTTTTGCTGTAGATGGGATTTTTAAATAAGGAAGATTATGGGAAAGTCTCTTGAGCTCTAAAACACACTCAGTCTGTTTTTTTGTCCAAGGTGGTGCTTTTTTCTTCAGAAGGAGATAAAGTGGACTAGTGAAGAGAGTAAGCTTTGGAATAAAAGAAGACATATAATTCACAATTCCTAGAAATTGTTGAATCTGCTTTATGGAAGATAAAATATCTGGAAATTCTAGTAGGTGTTTTGCTATATGAGGCTGGAGTTTATACATTCCGTTATGGAAATGCATACCAAGGAAATCTATTTCTTTCGTAGCAAAAACACATTTCTTTTCAGAAAGCATAATGCCATATTTACAACACAGAGAGTAGAATTTTTCTAATAGAAGTATATGACTATCAAGATCTGGAGAGAAGAGAAGTATATCATCTGTATATACCAGTGCCTGTGTAGATATTGGTTCAAAAATGTTGCTTAAAACTTTTTGAAAATATGTAGGTGCATTTTTTAAACCAAATGGCATGACAGTCCATTGAAAATGATAATTTGGTAAACAAAAAGTTGTTTTAGGACGATCATCTGGATGAATTCCTATTTGCCAAAACCCTGATTTTAAATCAAATTTAGAAAAGACGTGTGCAAGAGAAATTTGAGAAAATAGTGCAGTTTGGTTTGGCAGAGGGAATTTATCATCTGCAAGAAAAGCATTCAAAGGTTGATAATTTCTTACTAACCAAAGTTTTCCTCTAATTTGTTCTGCTCTTCTATTTACATAAAAGGCTTCACAAGCCCAAGGAGAACTTGTAGGTTCAATCAATTGTTCCTTTATCAAATCTTGAATTTCTAGTTTAGCTTGTTCCAAAAGATCAGGATTTAAACCTCTGTGAGAAGCTTTTGTGGGATTTATGTCCTCATTCTTCTTGAAGGGTAGTTTGACATAAAAGTTCTAATTTCTCCAAAGAGGGTTTTTGCATTTTTTGAGAAACTCAATATGGGAATTTGCACAGCAGTCTGTCAGAATTTTTTTTTGGATGGCTTCTAAACTGTGAGGTTGGTCTAATGAAGCAATCCCGAGTTAGGTTAGGTTCTTATAATGTAATCCTTTGGAGGTCCGTTGAAGTTTTACATGATGTAGGACATCAAATCCAAGCAATAGTTCTTTATTGGGCAAATGGGATCCTAACAGTTTGTGCTGGATAACAAGTTTGGGAAAAAGTTTTATCAAAATGGGTTTGCTAATCTGGTTTATTGTAAATTTTTCACCGTTAGCAGCTCGAAAAGATTGGTTGCATGTTTCCCAAAATTGTTTTGGCAATAAATCTGGTTTCAAGATACTGGCTGATGCTCCTGTATCAAAAAAGGTTGTTATGGACAAAGGTTTTGCATAATGTTCAGGAAGTATCTGGACTAGGACTATTGGGGTTGGTTGAAAGGGTAAACTGGCTATTTCTACATGGCTTTCTTGTGGAGACAATATCTCTGAGATATGCGTGTTGCTT